CGGGGGTGGGGGGGGGGTCAGAGGGGGGGAGAGGCATATGGGGAAAAAGGGTTCCTATTTCCCTGCTCCTGGGGCTCCTGGAGCCCTGCTTAGTCATTACATTTTCATGCCCAGACACCCAGAACCCACTATGCAAACTGCAGTGCCCACCCCAGAGTACAGGAAACACACAGGTCCGCCAACCTCTTGCTGAGCAGTTACTAAGCGGCTAGGCTCCCTGGAGAACCAGCCTCACTTTCTGTCCAGTGCTGTGCCCTCCAACAGGGACAGGGCGGGACATTGTGTGTGAGTCTGTGTGTGTGTGTGTCTCTTTCTCTCTGTGGGGTCTCTCTCTCTCTCTCTCTCTCTCGTGTGTGTGTGTGTGTGTGTGTGTGTCTGTGTGCGCGTGCGCACTCCTCTGATGCGCATGTGAGTCCCAGGTCCCCACAGGACTGTTTCACTCCGAGCTCCCTGGCCCTTCCCTCCGGCCGTCCCTGGTCTCTGCAGCAGGGCCTGGAGAACATGGACGGTCCCTGCAAACCCTCTCTGTTGCTGCTGGGAACATGAGTCCTGGGCCAAGCTGAAGTCCTGCACTGTCCTCAGACAGGTCCCGGTGTTCCTGGGGCTCCCGTGGGGCTGGGTGCCCCAAGGGCCACCCAGGGGGATAAGGCAGCGGGGGTCTGGAGAGCCTTGTGTATGGCAGCGCAGACCCGGGCTGCCTGCCCGGTATGAAGCCCGGCTCTACCTTTACTGCGGTGTGACCCTAAACACAATGGCCAATGCCTTGTTGCCTCAATCTCATCTCTAAAATGGGCGTAATAACACTGTTTTATGACTTTTGTGAGGATCAAATGCGTTCAGGTACATGACGCACCCAGGAGAGTGCCTGGCACAGACTGAGCACGATGTGAGGGTTTCTCATTCCTCGGGGTTCCTGGGGGAAAGGAGCAAGAGGAGGCTGGCGAGCAGGTGCGGCTGAGGCCCCACCCCTGCACGGACCTGCACAGCCTGGCTTTGATCTGTTTGACACAGTGCCTGGGGCGCTGCCTACCATTTTGTTACAAAATATTGTGGCTAAAGAAGGGCTGCAGCCACTATGCTGAGGCCCCGACAACAGCAAACCTTGAAGAGAAGTGCTCCTGCCTCTGAAGGGGTGCGGGGGCCCCAAGCAGGGCTATGGTTAGGAGCTGGGAGTCCGGGAGCCACCTGAGCTATGCTGTCATCAGTCACTCTGCGGCCTGAGGTTGGTCCCACAAAGGGCAGGCTCTGACGTCGTGAGTGGGTGCATCGGGTGAATAAGCAATTACACGGTCCCGCAGGTGAGCGTGGCCCTGGGAGACGGCCCGAGTGCGCATTCAGGTTACTGTGTTTCACTCTCAGTCACCAGGGCTCCGGAATTGTTCCAAGAAACCCCAAGGAGTAAAAACCCAAGGGATCTGCCCCCCTCAGCCATCTCCACCCAGCCAGCTCTCACTTGGAAGGGCGGCCGAAGAACCAGGCTCCCCTTCGCCTCCCTTCCCGAAGCAGACAGAGTTTCAGGGGCAGCAGCGGGAGGGGGCGGAGGCTGAGGGCTGGTGACCCTGCCGCCTCTGCTCATTGTTTCCAGCCCCCGGGGAGGGGGGCGGGGAAGCAGCAGCTGCAGATGGGGCTGATAAGAAGAGCAAGGCTGCTCCACTGGGTTCTGGGTAAAAGTCCCTCCACCTGACTTTTCCCATCTCCCTCCCACTCTTCACCTCTGGGGTCTGACTCACTTTCCACCTGGTTTAAAGGAAGGCGCTGTGAGCTGCTGAGTGTGCAGCTGGGTGACCTTGAGAGGTCATTTCAGGATCCCCTGCCACTGGGCAGGAGAGGGCATCAACTGGCCCAGCCAGGGGGAATGTCTGTGTGTCTATTCTTGACTATTCAGGAAGATGAAGTTGATTGGATTTTAGCTGCTAAGGGAGAGGCTGAGGTGCATGAGGGTGGGTGGGCAGAAAAGAACACATTTGATGGGGCAGCTGGAAGTAGGCACGGGGGTCTTTGGGGGCCACTTTCAGTGGAAAGAGCACTGAACTTGGACTCAAAAGCCCTGGGCTCTGAGGTCTGTCACTAATGCCTCTTCTGTGCTCAGTTTCCTTGTTTCTAAAACGAAGTGGGCAACATGTACATCTCTGAGATCCTATCGGGAGATTTTCTCGGCTCAGGCTAGACAGCTGTGTTGACATAGCAGGTTAGCATGGTAAGGACATCTCTTTCATCCCACCATTGACTCCCCTTCCACATCTGGAGAAACTGAGGCTCAGAGAAAAATGATACAGCCAAGATCCCAGGCTGGGCACCCCAGCACAGGTGTCATTCAAAGCCTAAGCCAGTGGCAGCCTTCCCCAGCCCAGCTACGGCCTTGGCCCAGCCCCGAGCTCAGTGCAGGAGGGGAGGTAGGGCTTTAGGCCTGGCTGACTGGCTATATCTGAGAGCCGCCCCAGCCCACCCCCTGGCCTCACCCTGACGGAGCTCCTCATGGGGCCCAGGTCGTGGTTATAGGCCTCCACTATCAGCACGTGGGATGAGTCTTGCTCCCGGTCCAGGGGCTGGGGCCCTCGAACCAGGAGCCCGTCACTGACGTGGATACGGAAGTGGTTGCCATGGTTACCTGTGTGGAGAGACAGATGAGATGCGCGGGCTCTGTCCTGGAGCAGGAGCCTCTTGGGATTGTGGGGTAAAGAAGGGGGACCCAGCCCCCAGAATGCTGATCCTGCCCAGAGGTCTCAGGACATGGCCCCTGCCTCATGCTGGACTGGAGAGAGCGGGTAATTTACTCTGTACCCTCCATACAGAAAGCCTGGGGGACCCCTGAGACCCCCCCCCCTCGAGGTATCAGTGGATTCAATATTTCAGAGGGATCTGGGCACCACAGAAAGAGGAACCCAAACCAATTTCTCTGTGGGTGGGCGAAGCCCTGATTGGGTGGACATCTCCGGGCTGGCCCAGTGCCATTCCCATGTCTTGTGGTAATAGCACCCCGATTTTCTGCTGGGGATCCACCCTCCCTCCCTCTCAAATGAGTGCTTTGTGACTCATTTTGGGAAGCTGGGGGCACTGCCCTGTGCCCAAGGCAACAGTGATGGTAAGGGATGGGCCCATGAGACATGTGGGGCCATGACAATCTCTGGGGAGCGGGCCGCCAAAGGCTGTCCCGGTCCTCACCACCCCTCTGGCGCGTCAGGGGCAGGACTGGAGGCAGGGTCTGACTGAGTTTACAGTGCCTGCTCCCCGCCCTCGGCGAGCCTCTCTCCTGGGGAACCTGGATGCTGGCAGCCCTGAATAGGGACCCGCTGGCTGCTGCAGACCATACCACTCACATGCAGCACTGCATCTCTAACTTGGTGCAGGGGACTGAAGAATGCCCCCATTTCTTCCCTCTGGCCCGCCCCGTGTGTACGGTCCTGGGGCTCCCTCGCCTCGGCTCCCAGACCCCTGGGAGCCGAGAGAAGCTCTGCCCAGGGAAGGGCTGCCCCTGCCCTCCCAGACCACCTGCTCACCTTGGAGGATGCGGTACCACACACGCCCAAACTCGCCCTCGTCGGCGTCTGTGGCCTGTAGCTGAGGGAGGAGGATATAAAGTCAGCCTGAACGCCAGCCCACAGGGAGAGATGCTGTGGAGTCCCTCTCCATCCCTCCACACACCCCAGCCTGTCCTGCCCAAGCCTGTGGCTTCCCCCGGTGGCTGGGGTGTGAGACAGGAGAGGGACGTGTCTGTCTTTCTCATCCCTCCAAGGACACCTGACTGCTGATGCCTCCAGGTTGCCCTGTCTGTGTTGGGGGACCTTGCCAGCTGTTCTCTGATCCCCTCCAGGTTCTTGGGGAGGACAGGGTAAGGTGGGTGATGGGTCCAGGCTTGACTAGGTCAGCTCACACATCCACACGTCCCTCCTCCAGCCCTTTGAGCGCTCAGAACCTCACCCCGGGCGGTGGATTGCGTGGCTGCTTCTTGACTGGGTGACCCTGGCCAGGCCACACCTCTCTAGACCTCGGTGTTATCACCTGAGGGGGCTGGATGAGAGGCTCCCCTCACCTGATGGATCTGACAGCCCTTGGAAGGCCCCCGTCCGTCTGAGGCTGTGCAGAAAATGCTTTTGTGGTCAAGGGCTGAGGGCAGGAGGAAGCAGCTGGATGCCCCAAACTAGGGCTCCACAAAGGGGCTGGGCTCCAGGCGCAGGTCTTGGGCAGAGCCATGGCTTCTCCCCGAGTTGTGTTTCTGGGAGCTTGGGGTTCCTCAATGGAGAAGCTGCTTGAGGCTTAGGCTCCTAAGGAGGCAGCTTGTTGCCAGGGAAGCTCTGGCTTCTGGGAAGAAGGAAGGTTGGGGGAGGAACGTGGGAGGGTGGAGGGAGAGGGGGGAGTCGTAGGGAGGTGATTATATGTGTGTGGGTGTGAGACCTGCCAGCTCTGTTCTCTGATCATGTCTATGTGTAGGTGGTGGGGGGTACACAATATTTACATTTTCTTACAACTGTTTATTTCAAATTTCTCTCCCTGTGACTGATCTCTTTATCACTTAATGTAAACTTTATTGATATTTTAGTAACTAACTGGTACCACCCCTTCCTTACATTTTCCATTTTCTTAAGTTTTATTATGATGTGTCTGGACATAATTTTATTTGAGTTTATCCTGTTTGTAGTTTCCTGAGCTTCTTAAACCTATAAATTTATCTCTTTTATCATATTTGGGAAGTTTTCAGCCATTATTTCTTCATATATTTTGTGCTTCATCTACTCTCTTCTTTCCACTGGGACAGTGACACAGGTACTGGATTTTTTGTGTTGTCTCTTAGGTTTCTGAGATTCCCTTTTGCTTCCTTCACCAATCTTTTTCTCTATGTTCTTCTGTTTGGAGAGATTTGTT